TTCCCCGCCCACGTGGTGGGGGGGGGGGGGGGGCAGGGGGACAGATGAGGCAAGGGAAAAGCAGGGTTCAGGCGCCAGCCAGGAATCAGCTGTCCCAGCTCCTGCGGGGTCCCCAGCTCTGCACACCAGCCTTTTAAATGTATTAAGAGTCTGATGGTTCTTAATACATTTAAAAGGCTGGTGCGCAGTGGGGTTTCTTGCACTTGTATAGGAGGTAATGACTGGTAGACTAAGGCCACCTGCAGTCTCGCAAGGGAAAAGCAGGGTTCAGGCGCCAGCCAGGAATCAGCTGTCCCAGCTCCTGCGGGGTCCCCAGCTCTGCACACCAGCCTTTTAAATGTATTAAGAGTCTGATGGTTCTTAATACATTTAAAAGGCTGGTGCGCAGTGGGGTTTCTTGCACTTGTATAGGAGGTAATGACTGGTAGACTAAGGCCACCTGCAGTCTCCTTCAATCCTCATCTTCTATGATTCTACAGGAAGAGAGAGCTGAAAAGTGCAGAGAATCTCTGATCAGTATTTTCTTAGAAGTGGAAACTTACACTTTCAAGGCAGCATGAATTCAATTGTCCCGCTGCTGTGACACTACCTGGTGGTGCCCGGATGGTGGGGTGTACAGCAGATCCCATGCTTGTTCATGGACCCCATCTGAGTTCAAGCACCTCAGTCTCTTGTCAGTGGCCACCCCACTTTACTGAATGGGGTGCAGTGCAACAGTGGTCCAGAAGGACTGGTGGTGTCTGGTCTAAATAGTCATTAATGTGAGGGGGCCTTGTCTAATGGCTGGCTGGCCTTGCTCTGGGCTGAGACTCAGGAGACCTGGCTCCTATTCCTAGTTCCCCCATTGCACTGCTGGGTGATCTTGGGCCAAGCCAGGCGCTCCTACAAGCAGGCTGTGTAGTGTGGTATTAACACTGCAGCAAAGCCAGGGTAGAACACTAAGGCTACGTCTAGACTGGCATGATTTTCCGGAAATGCTTTTAACGGAAATATTTTCCGTTAAAAGCATTTTCGGAAAAGAGCGTCTAGATTGGCACGGACGCTTTTCCGCAAAAGCACTTTTTGCAGAAAAGCATCTGTGGCCAATCTAGACGCGCTTTTCCACAAAAAAGCCCCAATTGCCATTTTCACGATCGGGGCTTTTTTGTGGAAAACAAATCTCAGCTGTCTACGCTGGCCCTTTTGCACAAAAGTTTTGCGCAAAAGGGACTTTTACCCGAACGGGAGCAGCATTGTATTTCTGCAAAAAGCACTGATTTCTTACAGTAGGAAGTCAGTGCTTTTGCGGAAATTCAAGCGGTCAGTGTAAACAGCTGGGAAGTTTTTCCAGAAAAGCGGCTGATTTTCCGGAAAAGCTGGCCAGTCTAGGACACAGCCGGGTTGGA